GGCAATCGTTCGATGGGCTGAATTGCACAAAACGCATGATCGCACCAGCTAGTCTGGTGCGCGTTGTTATTTATTTTTCGCGCACCACTGACCTAATTTACATGAGGTATTAGCAGTGAGGGCCGGTTTGTGTAAGGCGTTCCGATTGATGACGGTGTCCACAGCTAGAGTCGCTTTGCGCAGGGTATCCGGAACCGAGGACCGGTGTGCTTAAGGCACCCGCAACGTGGATCGTTTTGTTCGCAGTAAGAGTCTTATGGGGTGTGTGCAGCGAGAATTGGATTTGCATGAGAGTTCCTAGAAGAAAAGATGTAAGCAGATGCGCCACTGACAAAGCCATTACGAAGCTTCTCTGTCCACTTTCATTTTCCCCTGTTCTGGAGTTAACTGCGAAAGCGAAACTGCATCGCCTTATGGTAATCTCTCTGCTGTTGCTTCTCTCTGGATTTTCATGCTTTTCTGAATTTCTGGCAAAAAAATATTCAGTTAAATCTCTTCCGCTCTCTGTCTCGACAGTGTACAACGAACACTCTCCCCTTCTTAGGCGTGAAAACTATCGTCATATAAATTTTTTCTTCGCTGTTTCCGTGCCCCTTTTTTTATTAATTTTTTCAAACTAGGGGCCAAAGAAGGAACTGAGGTCCAGAAACACTTTTTTCTGAATGACAGCATTTTTCCCAGTCTCTTCGTACATTTTTAAGTGCATTATGCATAAAAGCAGCATAGATCAGAAGTTTGGAGCAATTCGAAGAAGGCGCTGCAGGCCCAGTCACGGCAGGCTCAGCCAATCACAGTGACGTAAAAATGTGTTTTTAGGCAGCTAATACAGACATCCATATTCAGCTTAACAAACGGATTTCTGGACAGTTGCCCACCCGACGAGAGCTTATTCAGGCATGTTTATCATTCAGTTAGTTCCCTTCTTGTCGCATTTGCATGCTCAGAATTGCTCTATTTGGCTTCCATCTTTGGAAATATGTGAAGTATATGCTGGTGTCCGTCTTGATATTCATTAATTTTGTTTAGTCCCTGAAAACTGGTGAGTTCGATATGCTGGTGATTGGAGGAGGCGCAACGGGTGCCGGTGTCGCTTTGGATGCGCAGACTCGAGGTTCCATAGTCTTAAAATATAAAAATTCGAAGGAAATTTGAAAAGTAATGAAAATTTTAAAGGAAAGGAGTAGAGGGGCGCGGGATGGGGTGAAAAAGTTGGATAATGAAGGGCTTTTCGGTTTAATAATTTTGGGCTAGGTTGAATTATTGGAGTTCAAAAATCTTACTTGAATTAAATATGAACATAGATAAGTAAATTTGAAGTGGACTTATAAAACCTGGTGCATATGCATTTTATCAGG